GTCAGCACCGTTACCACCACCACGGCAGCAGGAGATAACGCGTTCTGGGCGCGTAGTCAGAGCCCCGGATCGTTTTTGACTTGTGTGCATTGTTGTACGGCGGTGAGAAGCCCTTTGGTGGGGAGAATGTTGTAAACCACCAGTTCTCAATTGGGAAAGGCCTTCGCGCTTATGGCATTGTATTCGTTGAAATGTTGTATTTCGACTCCGCCGTACCGCTGATGTTGCTGCATGGCATACGCTATATGCGTTGTGTGCGTTTTGCTGTATACGCTGTTATGTCCAGTTTTATCTGCTTATGTTTTGCATGTACGCTGTTTTTGCATGCTATAAATAGCTGGTGTTATTAGTGTTCATTGTTAATTATCAGATGAAGTGAAATATACTGTGTAAAGGACAAGAGTTGTCCTCGTGCCGTGTGGTCGTACGATCCTGACAATTTAGAGAATCTTGCAGGGTTCACAACACTGGTTGACTGTATGTATGTATGTATGTATGTATGTATGTATGTATGTATGTATGTATGTATGTATGTATGTATGTATGTATGTATGTACACATAAGTGGGTATACCCAGGTTTCAACAGTGCTCAACACCACAGGGGCGGAGCGTAACCACAAAGGTCAAAAAGAATGGTTTCACCAATTATAGAAACATACGTTGTAACGCTGCGTTTCATGCACGTAGCTAAATGCTAAGGCAATCATCAGACAACTAATGCTTTTGTCGCGGGATAGCTTGTTCTTATTGTGAGGGATACGCATGGGCATGTAGAGGAGGTGTGATCTATCAATGCAGGGCATGCATGGAAAGAGCGAGTGATAATAATTACATCACTGGATGGGCATGCGCAGTAGGCGCGAACTATGCATGAAGCGTGCAGAGGCGGAGAAACCACCAGGCAGGACAAGGGTAAGCCATGGGGGCACTGGGCAGAGGGTGTGATGTGTGGCGGTGGAAGCACACTGTGGTGTCCACATTCAACAGCTGCGGGTATTCAGAGGATGTGGCGGTGATAGTGGTAGCACGCGGTGGCTATGTCACGGCAGAGTAGGTGGAGAGGTAGAACTTGTTTTGGTGTCTGCACTTTGATACCAACTCCGACCTCTTGTTGAGCAGAGTGTGAGGCGTCTTGAAGGTGATGATGCGCAACTTTTCTGCTAAACACAAGCAGCACCTTTTGGATATGTTGCTGTAGGACTTGGCCCGATTTATGACTGCCCATTTGATGCTGTATTCCTCACCTTGGTCAGCCAGCGCCCATGTGTGCTTGGATAGCTCGGTCTTGGTACGGTACTTTTCAGGGAGGGGGAAGTGGTGTACCAGGCCTCCGTCACAACTCCAAGCACCGGCGAGGAAAGGCAATACATCGCCCTGTGCGAGACGCCCTTCAAGGTGCGCTATGGCAACCATCTAACCAGCATGAGGCATGAAAAGTACCGTACCAAGACCGAGCTATCCAAGCACACATGGGCGCTGGCTGACCAAGGTGAGGAATACAGCATCAAATGGGCAGTCATAAATCGGGCCAAGTCCTACAGCAACATATCCAAAAGGTGCTGCTTGTGTTTAGCAGAAAAGTTGCGCATCATCACCTTCAAGACGCCTCACACTCTGCTCAACAAGAGGTCGGAGTTGGTATCAAAGTGCAGACACCAAAACAAGTTCTACCTCTCCACCTACTCTGCCGTGACATAGCCACCGCGTGCTACCACTATCACCGCCACATCCTCTGAATACCCGCAGCTGTTGAATGTGGACACCACAGTGTGCTTCCACCGCCACACATCACACCCTCTGCCCAGTGCCCCCATGGCTTACCCTTGTCCTGCCTGGTGGTTTCTCCGCCTCTGCACGCTTCATGCATAGTTCGCGCCTACTGCGCATGCCCATCCAGTGATGTAATTATTATCACTCGCTCTTTCCATGCATGCCCTGCATTGATAGATCACACCTCCTCTACATGCCCATGCGTATCCCTCACAATAAGAACAAGCTATCCCGCGACAAAAGCATTAGTTGTCTGATGATTGCCTTAGCATTTAGCTACGTGCATGAAACGCAGCGTTACAACGTATGTTTCTATAATTGGTGAAACCATTCTTTTTGACCTTTGTGGTTACGCTCCGCCCCTGTGGTGTTGAGCACTGTTGAAACCTGGGTATACCCACTTATGTGAATTTGCTCCTCTTTGCAGTAGAGCACTCTTTACTTCAGGTTGCTACCAAAGGAATGGACAAACCAACACGGATCGACCTGGGATATTCGCTGAAGAATATACCCATACCGCCCAACAACGCGTATACGGCTAGGCTGATTGAGAAAACGGAGAGTCTGATCAAGAGGATGCGCTGGAAGGCGCACTTCTTCCTCCATGGCGGCGACAACAGCACCCAACCAGCGGAGAAGTTTGGATTCAAAACGAGAACGTGCCCACCTCAGCTGGACGAACTAAAACCGTTCGAGGGTGATTTGCTGCGAATGGTCGGAGACATCAACTTCAGGAGGGTTACAGACGAGTTCCAAGACACGCTTAGGAAGGACATCGAGGACATGAAGGGTAGTGAGCAGCTGATCATCCCAGTGGACAAAACCAGAAACTTATACAAAATGCCGAAGGACAAGTACCAGAAGCTGCTCACCGAAAACGTGACTAGGCACTACCAATCAGCACCAGAGGGAGCCTACAATGAAATAAACACGGAGGCCAGAGAAATCGCCACAGACCGAGACGTCGCAGACAGGATGGATGTCCTCGCAAAGTCAGGTGCATTTCTCACACTCAAGGACCACAAAGAGAATTTCACTCAAGCCCTCCCATGCCGGCTCATAAACCCCGCTAAAACAGAGGTTGGCGTCATCAGCAAGGCGATTCTCGAGCGCATCATCCGGGCAGTTCAGAGCCACACCAAGACCAACCTGTGGAAAAACTCTGCTGAGGTGATCCAGTGGTTCAAGGGAATACAGGACAAGGAGCATTACTCGTTTGTCTGCTTCGACATAGTCGAGTTTTACCCGTCCATCTCGGAGCAGCTACTGAAAACGGCTCTCGAGTTCGCCGCCCAATTCACTCCCATTCCCCAGTGCGACATCGACGTAATTCTCCACGCACGAAAGTCGCTGCTATTTGCCAATGGCAAGGTGTGGGCCAAGAAAGACAGGCAGAGCCTATTCGATGTGACGATGGGAAGTTTTGATGGGGCAGAGGTGTGCCAACTAGTGGGAGCGTTCCTGACCAAACGACTCGCGGATATGTATGATCCGGCTAGTGTCGGGCTGTACCGCGACGACGGACTGGCCGTGCTCAGGACTACTACGGGACACGAGGCGGACTCCATCCGCAAGGCAATCACGAAGCTATTCAAAGACGTTGGCCTACGAATAACCATCAGTACCAACCAAAGGACAGTGGACTTCCTCGACGTCACCTTTGATCTAGCCAGCGGCCGCTACCACCCATACCGCAAACCCAATGACGCACCCAGATACATACACACCAAGTCGAATCACCCGCCGAACATACTCCGGAATCTACCTGCAATGATCAATAGGCGGGTGTCCGACATCTCGTGCGACGAGGAGGCATTCACCAACGCGGCACCCGCATACAGAGCTGCGCTATCTGCCAGCGGATTTCCGGAGGCCATGGTGTTCGACGGCGGTGGGCCTACCAAGAAGAAGAACAAGCGGAGGAGAAACATAACATGGTACAACCCACCATACAGCAAATCTGTATCCACCAACATCGGCCAGAGGTTTTTCAAACTAGTCAGCAAACATTTCCCTGCCGCGTCGCCACTACACAAGATCTTCAACAGAAACACATTGAAGCTGAGCTACTCCTGCATGCCCAACATGTCCTACCTGATGAAGGGACATAACCAAAAGGTACTAACGCCTGGTGAAGAGAGATCTGCGGCAGGGTGCAACTGCCGAGCCAAGCCATCATGCCCTTTGGGCGGCGGATGCTTGGAGGGGGAAGTGGTGTACCAGGCCTCCGTCACAACTCCAAGCACCGGCGAGGAAAGGCAATACATCGCCCTGTGCGAGACGCCCTTCAAGGTGCGCTATGGCAACCATCTAACCAGCATGAGGCATGAAAAGTACCGTACCAAGACCGAGCTATCCAAGCACACATGGGCGCTGGCTGACCAAGGTGAGGAATACAGCATCAAATGGGCAGTCATAAATCGGGCCAAGTCCTACAGCAACATATCCAAAAGGTGCTGCTTGTGTTTAGCAGAAAAGTTGCGCATCATTACCTTCAAGACGCCTCACACTCTGCTCAACAAGAGGTCGGAGTTGGTATCAAAGTGCAGACACCAAAACAAGTTCTACCTCTCCACCTACTCTGCCGTGACATAGCCACCGCGTGCTACCACTATCACCGCCACATCCTCTGAATACCCGCAGCTGTTGAATGTGGACACCACAGTGTGCTTCCACCGCCACACATCACACCCTCTGCCCAGTGCCCCCATGGCTTACCCTTGTCCTGCCTGGTGGTTTCTCCGCCTCTGCACGCTTCATGCATAGTTCGCGCCTACTGCGCATGCCCATCCAGTGATGTAATTATTATCACTCGCTCTTTCCATGCATGCCCTGCATTGATAGCTCACACCTCCTCTACATGCCCATGCGTATCCCTCACAATAAGAACAAGCTATCCCGCGACAAAAGCATTAGTTGTCTGATGATTGCCTTAGCATTTAGCTATGTGCATGAAACGCAGCGTTACAACGTATGTTTCTATAATTGGTGAAACCATTCTTTTTGACCTTTATGTATGTATGTATGTATGTATGTACCGATTGGCGTACAAGGATGTGTGGACTTCGATCTAACCGGCTGGCTGGCACTCAGTCTTTATGCCCCTTTTCTTTTCCATTATATCAAGCACAACAATGAGTGCTGTGAGGATGTATGGCTATAGTGAATGGCTAGAGCGGAGTCTTCGTGCATATTGGGAGCGGAGTCTCTGCGCATATTTACCATGTACTCTCTTTTAGACTGTTTTATTAGACAGTTATTATTAGTGTAAATTTTAACTTGCAACTGAGGATGCAGTGTGGCTTGTCGGAACAATAAAATGAAGTTTTAAATTAGCTGTTTCCATCCATACAATAAATGAAGAAATACGCGAGAAGACTGCATCGGATAGAATTACTCTCTACTAAAATCCCAAGTACTCTGTGCGGTTTACATAGTTTGCAAACACAAATTAAAGTTCCTTCATCACGTTGATCATCCTGAAAATACTTTAAAAAAAAGTAGAATTTGAGCAATGACTCCAATATGTGACAATCGTACGTCGAACACCGGCAATGGCGGCCGTTAGCAGCCACAGTGGAATGCAGCATATGATACCGGATGTCGCAACATCAGGTGTTATACTGGTTGGCACGGCTGTTTCAAGACTTCGTAATTTCATATACGCAGGTAGATGTGACTGAGCACCGTACTGATGCCGACCTTCCTCGGTATCTTCTTCCACATATTAAATGACTGGCACAATACTCCCAAGCAATGGCACCAGAACCCTAGTTAAGTACAACTTGCCGATTCTTTGATTTCCCCAATGCTGACATCCGTCAGTGCTAGACTGCCTTGAATGGAACAACGGGGATTGTACAAACACCTGCACATACACCTGAAACACACACACACACACACACATACACACACACGTCACACACACACACACACACACACACACACATGCACACACATGCACACACACACACACACACATGCACACACACACACACATGCACATATAAACACATGCGTGCATGCACACGCACATGCACACACACACACGTCACACACACACACACAGTCATAAACAACATTGTGGAAAGGGCTATATGAACAAATGTTCAATTAGCTGCCAGTACATGCAGAGGCCAGGGTGACTCACGTTATTACTTCAAGTAGTTGACTTGTGAAAGCCCACCAACACAAATTACAATACTGAAAAAGGAGCGTCATTAGACAAGACATCATCTGCCATTGTTACGTATCAATGCAATCTAACGCATTCATCCAACTTTACCGAAGTAAGTTTGGATTCTTACCATCTCTTCACATTCACGATGTTGTCAAGTAGAGGTCACTCCTTCCTTTCTTCAGCTTCTCCACTAGCAGTATTGGTAGCAGTTTGTCTCACCGGTGCCGGGGAATCATCAGCATGGTTTGCTGCACCTGAATGTGATTCTCCCTGAAAGAACAGTAGAGGGCCATGTACTTGTATTAGAAACACATTGTGAATTATAGACGATGATTCAGAGAGTTTGCCCAAACATATACTATGCCTCTCCCGAATTCTGCACACCTTTGCTTAAGAAGAACACTACCGGCCTTACAGATCGAACTGCAGGAGTAACTTATGCACATCTCTATCAAATTACTATGAGTATGACCGTACATGTACATAGTTCCTTCTCAGACTGCTATACTGGCCATTGCATGCAGTTACTTTCGGGATTTATCCTGACGGTGGGGAGTAGGACATCTCACACAATCTATTGTAGCTAGCTAGAACCCTAAGTCCCTGTCAGTGAGAACATTTTACGTGAATGCACAGCCATGGCAAACTGTTGGCCTGCAGTGGACATGTATGTTGCAAACCTGAGTAACTTGAGCCATGGCTTTCACTAAACATTCTGTGTAACCAAGGGTGCATGTATATTCACAAGCATCAGAGCACTCATGATACCTGCATGCCAGGTGGAGATGGAGCATCATCTTCGAAATAGAGGTTCCCAAGGCGTGCTGTCCTTGTTTCCGCCTCCTCCGCACAGTCACTGTCTCCAGCCGTGTCCAAAATCAAGGCAGTGGGTGAAGCAGCCCTGCTACTGTCACTGGAGAACCCTTCCCAGGGAACACACTTTGACTCGTAATCCGTCACTTTCTTGATATGCTCAACAGGATGGATGCTATCGGTCTCTGCATCTGCTTCATGGTCCTTGCCTTCATCACCAAAACCGATGGGCACCGTAGCTGCGGTTGCTAGGAGTCTCCGACTACTGTTGCCAACTGAGTCCTCTCCTCCTGTGTGCCTTCCGCCCATCTGTTCAGACTCGTTCTCGTTTGCGTCATGTTCATTCGGAATGCTCATGGCGGCGTGCACCGGCTGTGGCTTGCGGCGTACTAGTATGTCGACCACCTCGCGATCATCCCTGCGCACTTGTGACAAGTACGGGGCTTTGTTTAGCTTCTGCTGGGCTGATGTCAGATAGTACTTGGAAACACTCAGCTGGGATTCAAGCTGCAGGGAAAAATGAGGCCAAGCAGACACATACAAAAACTGTGTTGGTACATGCCCAGTCTGCTGGAGACAGAGATCAAAGAAAATCAATAATTTGGTGGCTTCACTCACCTTGTCAACAAGTGCTTGCTTGACATCCAGGCACTGGCGAAGATCTGATATTTCGAATACTTGCCGCTGGACATGATGTTGCATGTCGTTGTAAGCCCGGTCCAACTCAGCAATGCGTGCTTGATAATCTTTCAATGAACTAAATACGCAAACACAGGCCAACAAAATGATATCGTACGTACACGTATGTCAGCCCTGCTGGACTCTCTTGAAGGTGATTCTGTGTCTACCGAATCTTATCCGAAGAAGACAATCATTTTTCTGTGATACCAGTGAAGTCGTGTCTGCATACCTGGAAGCACAGAGCTGTGAGGAGAACTCATGAAAGTAATCCATTTGCATGTAGTTCAAGGTGAAGAAAGCTTTACCTACGCAGCTGGCTCTCCTCTCTAAGTTATTAACCTCTCAGTTAACTACACGTACTCTTGATCTCTAATGTAGATCTGATGTCTCTCAGGTCAACTTCTCGCTTATCTCATCAAATCAAAAAATTCAAGGGTGGCGTGTGACTGAGTTTTCAGCATCCGTAGGAACACCACTACCCTGCAGAGATCTAAGGCACAGATACAGCTCCTAAAGCGGTGGGAGGTGAGTTGATCAAACCCACCAACAAAGTGGTAAAAGACCAAAAATCCAATTCGCTGCATCTACGTTTCCCTGCGTGCCAGGCCACGATTTCCCAATTAACTGTGGGTCGCAGCACGGCTGGAAAAAATCCTTCCGCTTGCGAGCCAGCATGACTTGAACCTTGTGCCCTCTGCTTCCCAAGTAGTGCCCAGGTGGTTGGGATATGAAGCCATGCACAGTACGGGTACACTCCTACCTGCTCTTCTTTTGCAACTGTAGATCCTTTGCAGCGCATTGGTCTTCCAAGTAGATACAGTAAGCCTTCAAATCTGGAAAGTTGCTGTCCAGTAGCATCTCACCAGCTCTGGTAAAGGAGCAGACGCAGAAAGGCGCAGAAATACAGATGGGTAATACAGAATAGCTTGTTGGTACTGTGTGTAAAATCATGGCCAGGAGCCATGATTACCTACTAGCATGAGTAGACTGAATTCTAATCTAATGATTTAGTATGTGTCTGACACAATGATCGATGCAGGGTATTGTGCACCCTACTTCCGAACAAGATTATGCATGTGTCTCAGACCCATACAGAACCGCATGTGAATACCCATTGCAACATACATGAGTTACTTTGAACCCGTGCCATTAGTGGGATATGATTCACAGATCAACGTTAGTGGCCGCGGTCGGAAAGCATTGCAATCGACAATGCCCAATGCATCAGCAAAAGGAAACATCATCCCGAGGCAGGGAGGGTAAATGCGCACACATCAACAGCTGTGTAGTAAATACTAGTAATAGAAAATAATTGCATGGTAAAAGATCCTTGACTATAAAAGCTATTCTCCATTCTGTTTTTTTGTCCCCAGAGTTTAAAGCTATATTACTCGAATAAATTTTGTCTGATGATGGCGCAAGCGTGAAACTCTGAGTTGCAATATAATTATGTTCCACCTCACTTGTAAAGCTATACTGCGAAGGGTTTCCCCAGAGGATCGACGTAATTGGCTGCATACTTGATACTGACACCTTACCCATCATGATACTTGCCAACTTGTCTGGCTGTCTGCTCTTCATTGTCACGATCACCACTACGCAGCGAGCTATTCGTCAGGTCCGTCTGGTCAGCCTCGTGACCACGCATTGCGCGTGCACCGCTTTTGTTGATCTCCTCCTGGTCTGAGAGCCTTGCTAGAGGCGGCGGACCAAGTGTCCTGATACGCTTTGGACTCCCTGTCGTAGTGCCTATGAACACACACACAAATTTAATGAAAAATGGGATTCCTGTCCACACAGAATTGCATTCGGCATACAACTCAAAGTATACAGTAAACACATGCCACGGGTCACACGAGAGAACATCTGATATCAAACTCCAAGCAAATAAGTCACGGTTTGTGTGCGACTTGGTAAAAACGAGTACTCCACCACCCTTCATGCTCAAGGTGCAAATGAAGCCACTAAAGCGTTGAGAGTTGAGTAGATCATAAAGTTCAAGTAAGTTATAGCATAATTCTGTCTCAGTTCCAGCAGAAAAAAGGAATTCAGGTTCTTCAAAGATGGCGGGCTAAAGAATAGTCAAGCTGGTAAAGAGAAACGACACGGACCGAAACACTGCCAAATAATAAGTTTTCAGCGATTTTCTTTGTTGGAGCGGATGCGTCGACCACGTATCAACACAGAGTTAAAGTTTAAAAAAATGCTAGAATGTAATAGCATGTGGATACCCTACATTTTGAAACCATGACCAGTCCGCATTCGGAAACAGCACCGGCTACCGGAACAAAATAATTACCGTATGTCCGCACCTTTAAACCCATGGAATTATATTCGATTATAAAGCCAGTCTCAGTTATAAAGCCATGGGCTTAATAAACGAAATGACATTTGAAGTATATTTTTCAAAAATGAAGGAATAAGTACTATGCTAACAAACTTACAGCCCAGCAGAAAGGGTGAACAAGTAGATTTAGATTACAATTTCTGTGTGGACTTTGACTTTTATGGCATGGCGTAGTGGGCGAGTCATTTTGCATCTAAAATACCTAGGAAAGCAGCGGTGTTTCAAATATAAGGCCATGGCTTTAAAGGCGCTGACATACGGTATAAGAATCTAGGCGCGCTCTTTTTCATCAAATATGTACATTCCATTAGCCCAAGGTCTCCTCAATGTGACCTAGCTTATGCAGTACTCAAGTCAAAACACATCGCGTGGGGTGTTATAAAAAAAAAATAAAAAACCATAAATTCAGACAAGGGCACCGCCATATCAGTCGCTAAACTGTGCATTTGAAGGTCTAGTTTCTGATAGGCATTGAGCTTCCTCATAACACTAATATAATAATAACATCTATTTCCTACTGTTGGTGGGATATCATACTGCTCACTAACCTCCATGAAATGCCGGGAAGTCTTCAGTCCTATGGAGTCAATTCACTGTGACCTCAAGGGACAGTCAGATTTTCCCCGCTCCAGTCAAACCCTACATCTATGGGTCAGATGATGTCGGCCACATTAGATTTGCTGTCACATGCCTTGATCATTTTCTGCACAAATTTAGTTGCATGACAAAGATGTGAAACCATTCTATTGCGGATAGCTTTTTGTTACCTAATTGACCAAGGCTAATATTCGAGATCACTTACCAGATTCTCCTTGGCCTTCCGGCTTCCGATAAGGCTGGAATGCCGAGTGCTTTCTCTTCTTACGGTTCCCTTGCTGGGACTCCGACTGGCCAGCGTTGTCACCTGCAGCAGCCTCACCGCTGTCTGCTGCTCCTTGAGCTTCTGACGGATCAGACTGAGCATCGAGTGGCGAGCCTTCGCTGCGCCCCGTTCGGCCATGCGTCTGCCAGCCGCGCGGACGTTGCTTTCTAGAAGGACGCTTGGCGCGGCAGTTCAACAGTACCCGCAATGGTGGCGTCGTGCATATCACCTCTCTCAAGTCATGCCTCTCCAGCTCAGTGGCGAGGGAATCCAAGAAGCCAATCAAGTTGCACGACTGTGCACGCCACCACAGAACAGAAAAGAGGAGGATACAGAATAAGTACTGGAAAACTAAACATGTAGATGATCATGGTATAGCTGTAAGGTGGGAGACACATGGAGAAATCCTAGCCCCGGCTACCCTAGACACCCCACCACCACTCCAAACACACATACTAACAGTTAGTAGGCACATGCCCATGCATAACCAGAGCCGGTGCAGGACAGCCGTGGCGAGTTACCGAGCATAACCACCCATGCACACGCACACTCAAACATATGTGCATGCAGCGCATACGGACATTCTCTATTGCATTGGCAGCAGCAGCAGCAGCAGCAGCAGCAGTAAATGGGTACGGTGAAATCATCACTTACACGATAAGACCAATACAGGTTGTAGTCCATCTGCTGAATGAGACTTTCACAGCGTCGACATAAGTCCACGTCCTCAGCATGTACCACAATAACATCAGGTGGTTGGCGTGGAAACGATAGCTGGAGTATAATATGAAGGGTTACACTGCTCACTGATCCTGGACCAAAACACAGGAACGTTCATGCGAGACATCAGTAAAGTTTGCACGTCCGCCTTACCACCAGCTACACAATTGTGTTGAGGAACAACAACAACAACAACAACAACAACAACAACAACAACAACAACAACAACAACACTGTTGTTGTTGTTGTTGTTGTTGTTGAACAACAACAACAACAACAGCAGCAGCAGCAGCAGCAGCAGCAGCAGCAACAGCAGCAGCAGCAGCAGCAGCAGCAGCAGCAGCAGCAGCAGCAGCAGCAGCAGCAGCAACAACAACAACAACAACAACAACAACAACAACAACAACAACAACAACAACAACAACACTTATAATATTATTATTATTATATTATACACGTAGATCATGTCCATGATGCCTTTCCTCTGCGCAGGTCCACCGCACTATTGTTTTTAAGATTAACATCATTATTACTTCTGCATATGCATTACATACTATGATCATGCTGGCTTCATCCCTTATCTCCTAAGCTACCCCCCCCCCCCCCCCGGTGCGTCTGCCCAGTGTTGACTCCGAGACCCACGGTCGGACGAGCTGCCCAGGCCTCACCACCACTGCCGTTTCCGTGCTGCCTTCTCGATACATACGTATGTACACTGTTATTATCATGTGCACATTCACATGTCTGAAGGTTTGTGGTTTTTCAATAAAAAAAAACAAAAACAAAAACAACAACAACAACAACAACAACAACAGCTGGCTTTAACAGGAAATTTCGCATGCAGTGCATGCTGATGATGTGTAGACTTCCCAAACCGAATATGCCAATATGGGGCAGTTGTAGGGGTGCCAGGATGTATAGAGTGCATCATGAGATTCATAACTTCTCGCAAGTGATTAAAAAAACTGGTATCATCCCCAAAGGGAAGTGGTCTGCTCCCCGTGTTGTGGCTCACGTCTCCCATCAGCCTGGACAGCACTTTTTTTTAAAAGATTGGTGGCTACCACCCAAGCACAAGTAAACGGCACTGATGAAGCTCTCTATTCAATCTTGCAGGAAAGCAGCACTCCCAGCGGAATGCAACACGTATACTTCAGCCTTTAAAAGCCTATGATTATAATCTTTAGCCTTTAAGACAACTAGTCGGGTGCAGAGCCAAGGATTAATTTATCCCCTTCCTTGCAAGGTCCTCATTTCTTCTTTAATATAATGTATGTATTTTATGCTTCTAGAGTTGCACGCTTCCAGTGGTTCCTGGTGAGAAGAGCCAGGCCCATCGAAGGGATGACATGTTTAGCTATTCCTACTCGGTTTGTCTTCTTGCCAGGATGTGGTTTCTGTCAAAGGAGGCACGCATGCATGTCTTAGGTGTTCCTGTTTTATTATTATTTTTATTTTTATTATTATTCCACAATCACGATGACATAGTGCCAATAAGCATGTGATGCGGGCGATTTTAAGCAGCCATGGTGGGGAAATCCTATAATTATACATGTAGGTAGGTCGCAATAGGTAGGTACACAAGTGAATGTAAGAGAAGGTTTTCAAACCAGGTATTTCCATGGATGTCAACACTGATATTTATGTGCCGACAGTGCGTCTTGAAAATCAGGCTTGCATTCAAACAGGATTCTACTAGGAGGCTCGTGTTCATACGAAACACTACAGTACATGTCTCTCTGTGTCCACACGTGTACATGTGTGAAATCAGACATGTTTCAAATGTTTCAACTGCACACAACCCTTTCTCAATATTCACAGCCTCCACTGTAGCCATCCAGTATATCCATACATCTCCGCAACACTCTCCAAGCGGTCTCTGGGCTATGCCAATTCCCAATTTTAATGTATTTCATCGATTGGTGCAGCCCAGAGACCGCTTGGAGAGTGTTGGGAGGGTGCATGGCACACAACCCTGATACCTCTTTTAGGCTGCCCCCCCCCCCCCCACCCGGACCCTATGTTGGTTGTTACTCGTGTCTTACCACAATAGATCACGTGAAACGTTCCCTCCAGAGTGATGGGCTCTCCACTTTCACCAACTGCCGACACACAGGATCAAGGAAAGAAGAATAATGCTCTCTCTCTCTCATACTGTTCATAGTCGCATCCTCTTTACACGTTCTCTCAATTCTTCATCCTCCTCACTGTGACCATATTAATTTTATATGCAATCTCGTGGCTTGACACTTAGTCTCAACGCACACCAACTGAAATGTCTCCCCGCTGCAAAAAAAACATCCTTAGTCTCCTCACCAATGTTCTGGGTTTTGCCCACCATTCGGCATTCGCCTCAGATTAGGGTCAACATTAAAAAGGTTGCATTCAGTAGAATTCTGATAAGACGCACCCCATGGTGAACAGGAAAGTGTACTGAGTATCCGGGGCATTTCTTATCTGAACAGGGGCATAGCTGGTCCCCCTTTTAGGAGGGGGGGGGGGGGTGCACAGCCACATATGTGTAGGATGGCTGGTGCATGTCATTCATCGTCATTATATGAATGCTGAACCTACGTTGACATTTTAGGGGTGCCGCCTTGTCTTGCTCGCTCTTTCCTCAGTTTACAGCAGAAATGAATAGCCTTTGTCACTTGCAAACATGCATAATGGAATGCAATAAAGTACTGCTGACCCCCCCCCCCTTCCCACCTACTCTAACTTCCGTAACTTGTCAATCGCCTATTCGTGAAGCGACTTTGGCACACATGGCAACATACGGTCCCCCCCCCCCCCTTGCCGTAAAACCAACCCAGAAGCAACACAGTGTATCGGAAGAGGATGAGCAGTATTTGCGGGCGTGGTGGGAGGGATCAGCTTCAATTAAGCTGATAATCATCGGCAAATGAAGTTTTCGCTGGGATCCTGTGCTGCTACAAGTTATCTTTATGGTTCAATGTCCAACAAGGATGCGGACTACTCACCATTTTCTAGGTTGAACTGTGCTTTTGCTATCTCTATTGCATCGTGCAATCCCGCCTGCAAATGAACACAGTGCATGTGACACGTTCATACGCATGCCCACATGCATATATGCACACATGCACATGCATTCACAGGCACACACACACACACACACACACACACACACACACACACACACACACGTACATGAGCGCACACACACACGCACACACACACACACACACACACACACACACACACACACACACACACACACACACACACACACACACACACACATGCATCCACTCATACTGATGTTCATGTACATGTAGGTGGTCTGGTGAGGAGAAAAATACTGCATGCAAGCTTATAAATAACTGGTTAATGAAATCCGGTACCAGGAGAGAATGCAACACTGGACTTTTTCTGTAGTCGCATTGTCCACGTTGCTCACCCAAAAGATAGTGCATGATCACAGGAATTACAAAACAGCATGCGTACCCAACACCCGCAGTCATAGTAAAACATTGTTTTGGCAAGCCTGAAAAAGGAGGAGCTGGGGTGGCTGACCTTGTCCATGCAAGTTCAAATCTGTATTTCTGGTAAAGTACGCTGCTTGTCAGATTGCAACAGTAAACCCAACAGGCTGAAAGACCTCCTTACTGTCACACAAAACGCATGGGACCTGCGTGAGAAACTGAAGGAAAACCCAAAGTATGCAGAGCTCAATGCCTCCAAAACGTTCGGCTGCACATGAGTGTGTGCATATCACTGGAATGCAACACTATACACATAATGGGTTATGGCAGGCATTTGACAGTAATATCTTACCTGCGCCTCCTGCAACCGTAGCATCTCGGAATGCTGCTCCTGCGTAATGCCCGTATGCGACCACCCAACTTGCACCTGCCCCATGCTCTGCCCTGCCCAGGGCATTGCGCCCTGCCCCGGCGCATGGGAAACACGGCCCATTGCCCAGCCATGGCCAGAGGCTTGCATACCACCACCCGATACCATCTGTTGCTGCTGCTGCTGCTGCTGCTGCTGCTGCTGCTGCCAGTGCACCTGGTCAGAGGTCTGAGAAGTAGTCTGGCCATAGTCTGCAAACGTTGGCACTGGATTGGGAGAATAGTACAGGTGCAGTGAGCATCATCAACACCACAGCGACGCGTCAAGATGTATTCGAACTGATATGGTCATGTAACTGCTGATATAGAACAACATACTAATCAAAACTTCAGATGAAGCATACTTATACTTACAAGTAGGTCTACCACTAGTCTACAGTAAATATACAACATTTCTGCGCTGCAACACTTTCTGCACTTCACACACGGATTTTGACATTTCGGCAGCGATTTATTTTCGGCACGGGGTTAATTAATACTAGTACTTTGTAAATCTCCAAAGCCGCTGTGAGAATTTGATCAGGGTTTTAATTTCGGCGTTTTAGTTCGATGCCGACTATAGCCGAAAATCAATACTGTAGTTGCCGAAATGTTGTGTCCTGTCAACTTTGCGTATAATGACACTCGGCGTAGCATCAGAAAAGTGTCCTTATTCGCGAAGTGTCCTTATACCCGAAGTCTCATTATACGTGTTACAGTTGGATGGGACTTTGCTCTGGGCAAGGAAATTCTGCCGTTATTCGCGAATTGTCGTTATATCCGCAGTCGTTCATAGCCAAGTTGACTGTGTTCACAGTGCTACTTCATAGATAGGCACCATCATAGATCATACACTGGTGCATGATTGATGGTGTTTGCATGGTCCAGGCGTTTGGTACTTTGATACTGGGTGAAACCTGGGGCTGCAGACTAGCACAGGGACACATCTGCATCTGTCCACAGACCTAGTGCACAAAGACTCTACTTGAAAATCATTGGGCGTGACGCACAGCAGTTTACACTGCACATGTACACATTATGAGATTATGAGATTTTTGCATTAGCGCAAGTCACATGAGGTACACTGGTTCCACTTGGATGCATTTTTCTATTGAAACTGAATAGCCCAGCTATCATTGATTTGTGGCGAAACCAAAAGCCTTTTTCTGCTGTACCGGTAGAGGGTCTAGCTATAGTACCATGGACGATCTACAATAATCTTTGTGCTGAATGACTACTGTATCAGTGTATGTACATGATGTAGCCAAGTCCAAGACTCAAGACTAGAGTATCAACGCCCCCTATCAACAACACGTGGATCTACGCCGCGTAGGTCCGCGCCGCGTAGCCTTGCTATCGACACTGCACTGATGCACTGATGCAGTGATGGCATGAGTGATGCACGATGACAATGATGTAGTATACAGTGTACTGCGGCAGTGCAGTGCATGCATGCAGGGCATTGCAAGTGGCACGTGTGGTGACCAGCAGTTGGACGCGTGCTTGTCAGCAGCCACCAAGCTGCTTGGCAGCAGCACTGCCAACAGCAGCGGCCTCCTGTTCCTTTTCGCCTGGGTGGAAACACAAAGAAAAAGAGAAAGACATTCGGTTGCTACTTACTTGCTGCCGTCACCGGACATGGCTTGATGGGCGCTTGCCCAGTGGTGCGCTGTGCCAGCACGGGTATCATGGCTCGCTTTCTACGATTTGCGGCAGCAGTCTCCGTTGGCGGCACGGCAATGCGAAAGATGCGGCAGTCGTCTCGATCCACATTCTCATCCATTATCTCCACGAACACGTGTTTCATGGTGTTCAGAGCGCTCCGAAAGTTAATCTTCCAGCGCGACGGGTCCGGATCAGTTTCTTTGTATTTACCAGAGTTGATCGCCCATGCTTTGAACAGTGCTGCGTCCTTCTCCTGGATATAGTCATGCCGCTTCATGTGCTTCCAGGGCATGCGAAAAATCCGCTTGTCCCTGTCGATCCAGTGCAGTCCCTCGATTGTCTCCTCGTCGAGCAGTTGCTCCAGGAATGGTAGGAATAACTTCCTCTCCGTCTTCAGCTCAGGGGCGGAATAGAGAGAACCGGCCATGTTACCTGGTTGGCCGTGAAGACCGGTCATATACGACGGACCGGCCATCATACTCAAACTTGAGCCGGAGCCGTTCATACCGGGGACACAAGCACTATGCTGCACCATGGACGACGGCCCAAGGGGAGAGATGAAAGACGAGGCTGCTGCTCCAGTTGCTTGTGCAGGGGTTGGCAACACACTTCCATTCGATCCGGAAGAAGCATGGTTAATATAAGAGCTCAGCGGGTCCACGCTAGGGCACCGTTGCATGGCTCCTATGTCACTCTCACGCTCCATCTCAGTCGCTCCCCGAGCACAGATAGCAGCGGCGGCGGCAGCAGCAGCCTCATCGAATTCAAGGCCGAAGTTACAGGACTTTGCGCACGCAGCCTGCCGCTTTCGACCAGCTTGTGCAAGTACGAATACACGGATGCCTGGCTATTGAGGCTTTGTTCCGACACTTGCTTGTGTGTTCGAACACTACTACGGGGCTAGTCGGTCACTGTGCAAACCAAAACTAAAAGATTTTAGCTCCGTCTTGCTATTGACTTTCACTGTTGTTGACTTTCCTACTAGCAGTGCTAGAAAGTACAAGACAGTATAGCTGTTGAAGCAGAGCTGCTCGTACATCCAGCGCGCAGCTTGAAGACTGCCGGCCATTCTGCAACTGGTGACACCTGCGGGACACACGATGAGGTGCAGTTGTGGATTCGCAATAGCACCTCGCTCGGGCGCGATGCGTGGCCGTGGAGAGGAAGACAGCTGTAGTAGACATGCTGAACCTCCCTGCCACTGCCAGCCACGGGCTGGCAGTCTATTTTTCTCTCCATCACTCTCGTTGTTCTACAACTGGTAACGTTACTGTAGGCCGTTGGACATGCACACTTCAGTCTGAGGTTTTACGACTGTCAACCGAATGCTGTGCGTTCTAAAGAGTACAGCGCTGCTCAATGAAATCCAGTCGCATCAGTAAAGTTTGCGCCTTGCATTGTTCCACAGCCCAGTGTTCGCAAGTCTATGGCTGCGCAACGCCGGGCGAGTACGTGAGTGACGCGACTGGATTTCATTGCATTTCAACACTGTGCGCGAACAATTTCGTTAGTTGTCACCTTGCACGACCGCAAGTACGAGGCCCTTGGCCTGGTCCCCGGTTTTCGCGCTTGCAGTATTAGCGAGGTGGGCTCTGGTGGAATAGGAACAGAACTGATATCTCTGGAAACGATCGCGTAGGCCTTCGGCTCAGAAGGCCGCGTCCTTACTGGACATGAGACGAGGAGAAACTGAATGCCATGCCAGCATGTCGTAAGTAACATCGTTTGTAATCGCAGTCATCATGGTCATGAGTTAGTTGCGCTTGCAACCACAGTCACAGTCACAGGCGCTACGCACAGGCATGTGAGGCTTCATTGGATGGCGTTGTTGTCGACAACAGAGGGAGAGAGAGAGAGAGAGAGAGAGAGATAGGCCCAGGGCTGCGATCAATTCACTTGCCGAAACTTCAAACACGAAAACACAGCGAGCCGCCTTTGTGGTCCGATCTCACCATGCTCACAGTCAGAAGTCTTTGCTGTGACCTGTACTGTGAGCATGGTCATGACCTGTACTGTAGAGTGTAGTGTAGATCTACCATGTGTACGGGGGTGGCTTCGAAGCTTCGCACAGGCAATCAGTAAACTGTTTGAAAAAAATAATGACCATCAAGTAGATAACCATGGTGATGATATCTGATTGCCATACTTACCAAAACCTATTCAAATGTGAGATACCGCTTACTGGCACTCTGCTTAATTTACACACCGGCACACTACAATCATGGCCACATGGGCCAAGCAGGTACGGTACAGCTGAGACAGGAAGTCGCACTACTCACATGCACTAGTTGTCATGGTATTGGGTAGCTCGTGCAACTCTCGACTCAAATACAGGGTTCTACTTCTGGCCAAAGGGGGTGGGGGGGGGGGGGCGCAGCGCCCCCCCCCCCCCAGGCCCCTACTCATTTTCCGATTTTTGTGTTTTTCATACCATTCCACGAAAATGCAGTCGATTGTCAGTACTAGAGTGTTCTTTTTAGAGCCACATTTGTCTGGGGTGAAGTCAGGTGTTCGCCCCGTACGTTGCATTTCGCATTGAAAATTGTATTGTATTGTATTTGTATTGTATTTATTTAAAAGGATTCTCCAAAAGCAAATGGATGCTTATCACGGAAGTCTCCCACATAAATATCGCAAGAAAAATGGGGAAATGGGGGAGAGGAGAGTGGAAGATGAAGCATGGGTTACGGCTAGGCATATGCGGATAGTGCCGGCAGAAAAATTGGCAGAATTCGGTACTTTTTCTGGTAAGTTTCATGCATGTTTGGTATGTGGATAAAGAAATGGAGTAGAATTCGAGGAATTGCCCGCCATAAGGTTTGTATGGTTCTGCCAATTTTACTGCTTTTCGAGCAGAATCTGCCACCTTTTCGAGCATTATCCGCCGATGCTTAGTTACGGCAAGAGGGGGGGGGGGGGTTATACTCTTCGTTACGGGGTAACTGTTTTCCCTGCCCCCCCCCCTCCTACTATTTTGAACTGGCTAGAACCCTGAAATATCATGATTATTATGATTACTGCGCTCACACAGATCGAGTCACCCGCGGCCAAGTCAATAATTCCCTTTCTTTACCCATTGTGCAAGCTCAAGCTGGATACCAATCTATTTCATTCCTGCAAATTTACAGGCAGCCCAAGCGCCAGTGAACTGAGTGTCCTAAGATATTCATTGACGTGTTGAGTGTTAGGCATTTCCCAAATCGGCCGGCCGAACAATTCGCCGAAAACTGTGGTTTTGAAGAAGTCTTTTCGCCGAATATGCAATTTTGGGACGGAATTCGCCGAAAATCGATGTTTTTGTGCCTCAACAGCATGCAAATACAATCCCTGTAACCATTATACTGCGAAAGGTGACTGCGACTTAAGTCATTACCTAGATCGGCCAGCAGGAAAAGACCACGAAATCAATGGCGGTGAAGAAATCTCGGCTAGTTGAGCCTAACTTGCAAATTTCGCACTGAATTCGCCGAAAATGGATGTTTTAGTGCCTCCAAGTCTAAGCATGCAGGTAAATGTACTGTATTACAAGCGGTGCTGCTTTGAGCCGAATTCTGACTTTGGGGCTGATATTATGGCCGAATTTGGACATTCTCTTAGCCGATGGAAAAGCCGATTAGGCGAAAAAATCGGGCCGATTTGGGAAATGCCTATTGAGGGTCCATAGGCCATGCTCCACTTCAACGCAATCGCAAGATGAAGCAGCCTTCAGTGCCAAGAGGAGTAGTAAGCTTTCTATCTTCTCTTGGTGCCATATACACAATGTATGATAGCTGTTGTATTTACTTCACAAGCGAAACAGGTTTTCAGCATTTCAGCATTGCACTGGGACTGAGACTTGGAAAGTGATCAAGGAGTTGACAGGCATACAGGCGAATGCAGTTGATGTACGGAGTCAACAGTGCACAGTGAATTTTCGGCTAGTGTGTTTCTGTGGTAGGGATTGGCGGATAATGCTCGAAAAGGTGGCAGATTCTGCTCGAAAAGCAGTGAAATTGGCAGAACCATACAAACCTTATGGCGGGCAATTCCTCGAATTCTGCTCCATTTCTTTATCCACATACCAAACATGCATGAAACTTACCAGAAAAAGTACCGAATTCTGCCAATTTTTCTGCCGGCATTATCCGCATATGCCTACTCTGTGGTATAGCGGACTGAAGAATAGGAAACGTGTTTCGCAATATTTATACAATGTTATTGTACATAGTATATACCCATTTCATTTTTGCCTCTCTCTCTCTCTCTCATCCCCTCTGTCGTTCACATACACTTGTTTATAAAAGGAGGCGAAACCGCCTGTTTGTGGAGCAACGCTAATTAAATACACTTCAACAACGTTAGCCCGCACACAAATGCTCGTACACGTGGCCAGGATACAGCTGCCTTAGTATTACCTACTGAGTACTGTACATATTGGGTATGGACTGCGCTCAGTTTCTTTTCTGGCGGCAAGTCGGTGGAACACTCTTCCTCCAAATTGTCGTCAGGCACAATCTGCTGGTACTTTTGCTCACCTCACAAAGATTCACCTAGGGTTCCCTGTAACAAGGCCATGCCTGTTGGGACTCCCCTAGTCAAATAATAGATACTACTACTACTACTACAGTACTACTACTAACAACAACGATTCGAGACACATTGTTTGAAAGTCGTGGAAGATCCAGTTCGCCCTGTGTACTGCTACCCCTTGAGGCTTTGGGGCTCTGCCCGCGGTTTCTTCTCGGGATTCTCACCTACATGTACCCGGTACATGTACTTCAGATCTGTCATGTTTCCAGAATTGATGTACATGTACAATCATGTGCATATATGCACAGTAAAACCTCGCTAAGAAGAACACTGATAAAACAAACTTTCGCTTTTAAGAAGAACTAGTATTTGTAACTCTATTCACTGGGTATAAGATAGTATGGATAAGAAGAACTCCCGTTATTGCGAACAAATCCCGTCGGTCCCTTGGTGTTCGTCCTAAAGATGTTTGACTGTACGCTTAGTAAGTTAGTTAGTACCCGTATCAGTTGCTCAGGAACAACGGCTACAGAGCTAGAGGCTGTTCAACTGTGCTGCTCGGGCAAGCTGCAAGTCTCCACCGACGACCTGCTCAGTGCATGCTCACTGCTCACACCTACTGAATTGAATGAATCATTGAATGACTTATTATGTATTTACTTGTGATCTAAAGGTTTCTGTGAACTATTTTAAAAACTAATAATTACGTGTACGGTGTACGGTGTACATGTTGTAGTAGATTCGTTGTTTCATTTGGTGCTGTTGAGTGTTGGCATGATGCAAGTAGCACGCTATTTCAGCCCTTGTTTTACTGTCCTTCCGTCAACCTGCACTCCTGGAGGTCGAAGCAACTAATACTTGCTTCCCAGTGGGTCCACTGCTATGAGGCTTATGCCTAATCTTTATAACGTTACTAGCATCACCCCAGGCCAGCGTTGCCTGGCCGAATGTGGCATGCGATATGCGGGTGAAGCAAGTACATGAACAGCACACGTGCTCAGCACACGTGCTCAGCACGTGGTGGTGGCCAGACCGCTGAAGTCCTGGTGAGGGAGGTTCTTCATGGTTGGAAGGAGAAGGAGGGACGTCTGTTACGCCTTCGGGAGGCTGGTCAGGGTTGTCCATCACCTGGTGGCGGATGAAGCGGCTCAAAAAATTCATAAACTTACGAACAAAAGTGCGATGCGCTCTTCACTGCAGATCAGATGCAGAGTGCAGTCAGTGCTGATCTTTTGTATCCTTTTGACGTTTTGTTGCAGATGTTTCTATTTGCAGAGAACGGTTCACGTGGTCCGCAGCGCTTGTGCGGCTGCTAGTGCCTAGGCTAGGCTAGGCTAGGTACTAGGTGGCTACATGATTCGCACGCTTCGCGTGCTCAGTGCTTCTGCGCGCGGCTGCTACTGCTACTCGTAGTCTCGTACTGATCGTGTCTGCATTACCACCTTCAGCACGTGGTGGTGGCTACACGATTCGAACGCTTCGCGTGCTCAGTGCTTCTGTGG